CAGAGAGGATTCTGGTTTTCAAAATAAAGCCAAAACTGCTGTATTTGGATGTATTGAACACCATTAGTGAGTGACATACAACTGAAATATATAGTTTGGTACATGAGAAAATTCAAATGGCATAGATGGTGCCAAAATGACCATTTTGGAGACCTCACCAGAACTCTGAACTAAAACCTCTCTAATTTTGTTCTGCTTCACTTTATCAACGTCAAACTTTGCAGAGAGACTGTTCACATATTGTGCTATGATTTGGGAGAGGTTTAGACCTGCAGCTGCATCATTCCAAAGAAATAGTAAGTGGGTTTTTTTTAGGCGTACCTGAAACTTTTCAATTTGTGCTGTGTGCCATCTTCATTTACTCTTAACCAGTAACATATATACTGATATTTACACATCTGAACAAATCTCACAAGTGTTCCCTTTATTATAACACCAAAATTCTTCAAATTGACCTTGTGGTTGCAAAGATATACTCTCTTAAGTATGGGTATGCAATTTTCGAGCAGAGGCCTAACATAGGTCCGTTTTTAACAGGTATCTGTTATTGATAGAGATGTATTTAACCCAGTTTATTTCACCTGATATTTGGTTTATTCTTATTAAGCAGCCTTTAGTGGACCTCGCCTCAGTTACCACCGAGTCATAGCACCACCTGTGCTTTCCATTTTGACCTTCATTACTATATCATCACCAGCCCCAGCCCCAGACCTGGTGGTCTGGGGCTGGGGGATGGAGTCAGGACTGTCCCATTGTCTTTCAAAACGACAGTAGAACTCGTTCAGCTCGTCTGCCATAGGTCGTTCATGGAGTGGGGGGCTTTTGGCTGGTGATCTGTCTGAGACCTTTCCAGACAGAAGAGAGCTGGTGTAGCAGTTTCTCAGAGTACAGTTGTTTAGTGTCTCTCCCCGCCTTGCTAAACCTGTATTTTGACTCTAAATGCCTGTTCCTTGTGCAACCTTAGCTGTCTGAGTTCTGCTGTAAACCAGGGTTTGTCATTGTTGTAACTCACCCTGGTGCTTGTTGGAACACAGCTGTCCTCACAGAAGCTGATGTATGACGTCACAGCCTCTGTGTACTCATCCAAATTGTTGGTAGCAGTCCTGAAAACATCCCAGTCTGTACAGTCTAAACATGCCCGAAGATCCTCCATAACTTCACTGGTACACTGCTTGAATTTCCTCACCACAGGTTTACAGAGCTTTAATTTCTGCCTGTATGCAGGAATCAGATGGACCATGTCACAGTAGTATGTCACGTAGTCCCAGAGTCCCAGTGCAGCACGAGGGACGGCGTGATAGGCCCCGCTGATTGTGGTGTAACAGTGGTCTAAAATGTTCTCCTCTCTGGTTGAGTATTTGATAAACTGTCTATATTTGGGGAGTTAGGTTTCCTTTGTTAAAGTCACCAAGGACAATAACTAAAGAGTCTGGGTTGGTCCGCTCCACACAGTATCTGTTCGGCGAGTGTCCGCTGTCTTGTTACTTACCACTACATTGGTATAAATTCTTATTAGATCATGTGTATATATACAAAATTTTTCAAATCAAAAAAGATTTGAAAATAATTTGTAAAAGGTCAAAGTATTGATTTGTATTTTGCGGCGGCATGTAAACACCGACTAGAATGAATGAAGCGAACTCACGGGGGGAGTAAAAGGCTTCACAGTTTATAATGAAAGATTCCAGATCAGGATAACAGTGCTGTAGAACCACTGTCACATCGTTGCACCAGCCACTGTTGGAGTAGAAACAGATTCCTCCACCCTTCGATTTCCCGGAGAGCTCCGTGTCGCGATCCGCTCTGAACAGCCTGCCAGCTGGAGCGCAGAGTCCGGTATTGTTCCACAGAGCCAGGTCTCAGTGAAGCACAAAACGGAGGATGAAGAAAAGTCTCTGTCTTTCCCAGTGGTGGGCCGTCGGGGCCTGCAAAGCCTTCTCTGCTGGCCTAAACAGAATCAAAAAGTTATAGCTGTTTTATAATTTAATATTTTTTCTTAAATAGGCCTTGTATTGTAATTTATAAAAATATTTTTCTCATTATCTTATTTTGAAGGCAGACTTCCACGGTGCCATCATCACAGTGGTCCCCTCTAAATGCCCATCATATGTCGGCACCACAGGGACTCTAGTCCAAGAGTTTAAACACATCTCTTTTTCTTCCTCTGTTGCTCTGCTTCCAGTCAAGACTTGCATTATGAGAAACATCAACTGTATGACTGTGGATGATAAACTCATACTGAGCACACTGAGTTTAAAGATAAAGTATTGATCTTTATCAGTGGCGGTTGGTCAATAGAGGGCGCTAGGGTGCCGCCCCACCTTGAGCCACAACAAATAAAATAAAATAAATAATAATAATAAACTATACAAATTGTCAATATTTGTGTTTTTGAAATACGGAATCACCCAGTAATATGTGTAAGATATGATATCTGCGGTAAATATATGCTTTTCTTGCACGTCCTCTCCCCTCCGCCTGTCTACACGTCCTCTCCTCCTGTCTGCACGTCCTCTCCGCGTGTGCACGTCTCAGCTGGCTGGGGCGCTGGCGAAACTGCCCAAAAGAGGCGGGTCTATGAAGCAGTTTAGCCAATTGCTGATTAAAGATATAAATGTGTGACATACAATTTAGCCAATCAGCGTCCTCATTCCTCAAATAGATTCAGCTTGGTGCAGAATCGATTCTATCCCAAACTGCGCGTTCCCGTCCGGACAGGCGAGCGCGAGCGTAGGTTTTAGGTCAATTGTAAAAATCAGCCTTCAACGTTGCAGCTGCAGCTTTTGTTTTCATCACGAGATTCCGCTTAATCCCCCTAATGACGTAATGGTAAAAGCCCAAATCTTTCTGAATGAACAACTCTCTCGCCGGGTGCGGTGGCGCGCGCCTGTAATCCAAGTTACCGGGAGGCTGACACTGGAGGATCGTTTGCACCGGGCTATGCAAATCGGGTGTCCTCACTAAGTTCGGTATCGATATGGTGCTCCTGGGAGAGCCCGGGACCACCAGGTCGTCTAAGGAGGGGTGCACCGATCCAGGTCGGAGACGGAGCAGGTCAAAGCCCCCGTGCCGCTCAGTAGTGGGATCGCGCCTGAGAATAGACGCTGTAGTGCAGCCTGAGTAACACAGCGGGACCCAGTCTTTTTACACTACAACAACGTGTTTACCTGTTACCTATGTTATCACTGCTTTATGAATATAAAGCAGAACTAGAATTAGTTCTCATGAAAACATTCAGAAACTAGTTGTTTGTCCTACAGCGCCTCCACCTGGAGGAGAGGAGCAATGAGCATCAATCACAGCAGTCAGTGCAGCACTAACTTTCTTTATGACATTCAATCAACGTGAAAGATGTCTTCATCAGACACATTACCAGAATAAAATAATATTACAAAAATTTCACAAAATGTTGGACTGTTACTCTACTATATATACTTCTCAATATGAAGCAACACTAAACAGAACAAGACAATTTTTTTGGACCATGAATGCAGCTTGTGGGTAAGAAACGCTCAGTGGCCAGAAATAGTCTGATGTGATGTGAAATGCAACCACAGCCCTGTAACAGATGTCCAGTTGTTTCTTGTGTTGACTGAATGATGTTTTTGAATTATGAATTTCAGTGTTTCTTGTCTGTGCAATGGGACGACTAGTTATTATACATGTTTGCATGTGTGGCAAAATAACACACGTAAAAGTGTTGTCTCTGTTGCAAATATTGAACGATTTTTTCTTTAAGCAGCAACATTAATCGACAGGATATAACATTCATTTTTTTTTATCACTCAGCCTCTCTGTCCCATTATAACCAGTCCACTCAGTCTCTGTCCCACTATA